CTGACGGCGGGTACCCAACGTACCGTCGACGAGACAACGGGATCGAGGCTCTCGTGAGGGGTCACCAGGTCAGCAACGAGTTTGTAGTTGCCTACAACCCGTACCTGCTGGCCAAGTACGATGCACACATCAACGTAGAGGTGTGTTCTACTGTGAAGAGCGTAAAGTATTTATACAAATACGTCTTCAAAGGCCACGACATGGCTACAGTAGAAGTCCAAGACAGAAATGAAATTGAAAAGTAAGCATCTGTTAATTTATTTCTTCATATACTATAACTGTTTTAACTCATAAGTAATTCGACTAAATAAAATAAAAAAGTCATTTTAAAAATGTAGCATACTTGGACAACGAAACAAAAGTTCTTTATTAACTTTGATGTATAACTCCTTAAATATTGTTACTATGATTTAAAAAAAAAAAACACTTATACTCAACTTATATTTTTAAATATTTATTTGTTTGTTGTTTTTATATGCAAATTAACAATATACTATAAAATAATGGTTACTTTTCGGTTACTATGTTTTTGATATTAATGTTACATAATTAATTCATACAGTAGTACACTGACCTTAAAAAAATATTTTATTTTATTTTTAAATTTTATTATTTTTATAAGTTGACATTGTAAATTTTTTACATAATATAATTATCTATATGGATGTAATATAAATAACTATATTTAATTGACATCCACAGTTATTGAGCAACGCACCTAAGTTAGACATAGGCTCGATTATGTGGTTAAATAGTAAATATATAACATACTATGTAGTATTTACTTGATTATGACAGTTTTTAGGTGAGTCGTTTATATAAATTTAGTGTAGCATACAAATACTGCTACAGATTCTAAATAATACAATATTAATAAACAAAATAGAACTTTACGTACCTATTTAATGAAAGTCTAAAAATTAAATTGTATAATGATATGTGACTATATACTATTTGATATAACTTATATAGGTAGAGTATTATATGGAATAAACTATTTACTAAATAATAAATTAGTTAACACTTGATTTTATTATCTCCAAATATATTGTTTAACATGGGCTGGATTATATGGGATAGTCCTATAATATATACTTGAATAGACAATAGTAATATAACAAACCTACAAGTATACTCTATGTAGTAGGTACTAAATATATTACAGTTTTTAGGTGAGTTGATTGTTTGAGGTAATGTAATTTGGTAATTATAAATTTTTATGTATGATACAAAACTGCTGCAGATACTATATAATACAATAATTTATTATAAACTAATAGATCTTCATGTATTTAATTAAATTACATCCACAGCTATTTATCAACACATCTGAGTTAGACGAGGGCTCGATTATGTGGTTAGATAGTATATATATAACATACTATGTAGTAGGTACTTGATATATTACAGTTTATATAAATTTAGTGTAGCATACAAATACTGCTACAGATTATTATTATCACTACTCATAACATTATTGTGTATTAATCGAACGAATTTTGTTTGTTTCAGTTACATCAATGCTCGGTACGTCAGTCCGCCAGAAGCAGTTTGTCGACTGTTTTCGTACGAGTTGCATAAGCCGAGTCACAGGGTGATCAGGCTTCCAGTCCATCTGGAAGACTACCACACGGTGTACTTCGCTCCGGGACAAGAACTGGAGCGTGTGCAAAACGCAGCGCTGGTCCGAACAAGACTCACGGCGTTCTTCTCGCTCAACGAGACAGACCCCGAGGCCAGACAGTATCTCTACCATGAGATACCGATGCATTACACCTGGGTGGAAAGAGACAGGAGGTGGAATCGGCGCCAAAGGGTAATGGCCAACGAGACGTTGTCTCGGATGTACGCGGTCAACCCCCTAGATCGAGAGCGATTCCTCTTGCGACTGCTGCTGCTGCACAGGAGAGGTCCTCAGTCGTTCAGAGAAATGAGGACCATCGACGGGGTCGTGTATCCGACCTACGTGGCAGCGGTGGCGCTTGGACTCCTGGAGGATGACCAAGCCCTGCTGGCGTACATGACAGAGTCCGCGGTCGTGGACACTCCCGCACAGCTGCGTTACCTACTGGTGACGATCCTGCTGTACTGCGAGGCCGCGGATCCGCTGGCGTTATACATGGCAAGCGAGGAAGACCTGAGGCAAGACTTCTTCCACAGACTGAAAGACGAGGACCGCGCGAGAGCAGCGTGCCTGGACGCCATCGGGCGGCTGCTGCGGGGTCACGGTAAAACGCTGGCCGACTACGGGTTGCCGAATCCGGACGTCGCGCTGCTCGAAGAGGACGCGGGAGGAGACTGTCTCTGCGCGCGCATAGGATACGGGAGGCGGCACTCATCGTCTGGGACGAAGCGCCCATGTCTCCGGGGCTCCAACTGACGGTGGTCGACCGGTTGCTACGGAACAAGGTTAGTGGTTACGGAACTGAGGCGCAACAACTTCAAAGCGAGAATGTTGTCGGACGCAGGGGAAGGGGAGGACGACATCGTCATCCCCAGGATACCGCTGTCGTCCAGCGGAGACGACGATCTGCCCTTCACCATGCGTCGGGTTCAGTTCCCGGTGAGACTTTCGTTTGCGATGACGATCAACAAGTCTCAGGGTCAAACTTTTGACAGAGTTGGTTTGTTTCTGCCGTCCCCGGTGTTTACGCACGGACAACTGTACGTTGCGTTCTGACGAGTGCGGGACTCGGAATCAATAAAAGTTGGTATGTACGGTGGCGACGACGGTCGATTTATCACAAGGAATATAGTGTATTCAGACGTGTTGTGATCGGCCGTTTTTGTTCAACCTTAACTTGAGTAGTGCAATTACACTTAATACTTCTTAGTTATTACAGTCTAAATCACTTATGCCGATAATTTTTAATTATTTGCTATAAGTTTAGCCGTCGCTATATGCGACAGCGGGTACCTGTGTGGTCCTGTGGAGAGAAAGTTTGACAACCTCCCCGTGGTTCTCTCTGGATGCTTATTCACTGCAAAGTGAATTCGTAACTAATGTCAAACGTTTTGAAATTAAATTAATTAACTGGTTTTCAGCATACTTATAGAATTAACATTTTCAGGCTGTTGAAAAATGGTGAACAACTGTGTTTGGTGTGGGAACATTGATGCCGCCATGGAGTTTCTATACACAAGTAAGTATGAACCATTTACGTCCCAATGAACATGACCGTTACACTCACATTCACATTTACATTTAGGTTTCGACGGATATGGACGCAGTTAGTGCAACACCATGGGTCACAAGTCTATCAAGCTGTGTTCGAGGTTTTTTGTTTCTGGAGACTTCTCGACACAACACTGAGGTTATTATGAATATTTGCATTAGTATTTGTTCATTTCCCACACATATCAAAACCACCAAAATGTGTTTCATTTGTATTAATCACAACTTAATGCTCTTATAACAATTTACTTTCATTGACCAAATGCATTTAATGTTTATATTTTATTGTAAAACCTTATATGCATGAGTATACTTCGATATTCTTCATTATAAAGGTTAATGCATTTGATTTTCTGTGATCACTGTTAACTATTACTTGAGAACTATTATATGTTGTATGTGTTATTCTTATTCACTATTCACTATACAATTTAATATTTTTGTCATGTTCTCAGGTTAATTTATTATCAGAAATATTTCATTGACTTTTATTTTTAATGTTTAACTACCCCGTGTTCAATTCATGTTCACATAATATCTAAACAGAATACTCTTATACGTATAACGCATTCATTTTAACTTAGACTAATATGAGTTCAAAAAAATTCATAGACCTTATTAGATAAACCCAATATTGCCTTAATAGTGTTATTAACTTTTATAATGGTTTTATAAAGATATACTGACGTTGTGCTTAAAGTATTTTTACCAAACAAAATGACGAATTTGATTCTGCCTCACTCTTTTAAGAACTACATTATACTATAAGCTTATTCATTAAATTCATTAACTGGTATATTGTATTTTTAGGCTGTTTTGTGTGGAAACATTGAGATACAAACCACAACATGCCAGGCCAACACAGCACTGCACTGCTACCTTCGACAGTGATATTATTGGTTCAGTTCCCACTCTGTGTTTCATTCATGTTAACCACAACTGAAAACCCTTAGAAACATTTTTGAAATGACACCCAACAAAATGACAAATGCTTTTAATGTATAAACTAATGTATGTATTTGTTTTACTTCTTATTGTTAAACCTTATATCACCAAAAAAGACAAATTTAATTCTGTGATCACTGTAAATATTGTCGCTGTATTTAACTTAAAAGAATAATTATGTTATTGTATAACCTTATATTCGTACTTTAATGTCTATGGACGCCTGTCGAAGTACTATATAATAGAAATTGCTATATTTTGTAACATGCCGTATCATTACCTATTTGTTCAATCGCAATTGTAATTACCTTATAACTATGTAACATTGTGTTCAAACTGTAAAATACCTACAACACGTTGAATTTTTTATTTTTTACTGTCGATACCGTGTGTAGGTAAATACACTTTTGTTGTATGTGCTTATGATATGATGGTTGGTTAACTGTGACTGTAGTATTTCAATTATTATACATATTATTACGTTTGATTATACTTATTGTATTATACTTATTGTGTATTACTTTTATTATTATATATTACTGTCTATAGATGATAATACACATATATTTAATATTATATAGTTGTTAGGTCTTTATCTCTGAGTATGATCAATTATTGGTTTAAATCCATAACTAAAATATTACAGTGTCGGCACGCCGTTTGTCAATCAACGATTGATATAGACTATTCCAACCACGAACCAGTGTTGCCAACATCTAAAACTCTGAAGTCCGGGGAAAAATATTTAAAATTACCGTAAAATACCGTATTTTAAATTTTAAATTATAATATGACTACAATATATTAATATGATAACAAACTAAATAAATATGTTTAACAAAATATAAAATGAAAGTAAATCTTTCGTATTATATACTAATTATATAGTTAAATCTTTCAAATGATGTACTTCAACGTCTTCAACATCTAAATCTTCAGTCTCTTTATACATTGTTGTGTTCATTGAATCTATCATTGTTTTAGTAGGTTGAAATTTTACACATGTTGTCTGCTTAACACGTTGACTTGATAGTAATAAGCCATTCAAAGTTTCAGTTTGAAGCTTATTACGGATTTTTGTTTTGATTAGATTTACCTTTGAAAATAATCGCTCACACTCAGCTGAAGAATGTGGTAAGCTTATTACTTGTAATACAAATTTTGCTACATTTTTAAATTTATATTCTCCTTCAATTTGCCAGTTATATAAGTATACCCAAAAGTCTTCAACATGATTTTGTTTTAAAGATGGCTCTATTTCTACAATTACCAACTTCCTCCATTCATCGTCTATTTTCTGGAGATCTATATCTTGATACCTGTTAATTATTCTAGGAACATCATCAAAAAATGAATTCAATGATACTAGTCGATGTTTACTTAATGCATTTTGAGGAGATAAATGTTGCATATTCTTCAGAATAGAACATTTAAAATCGTATCTAAAAGAAATTATTTTATTTATATTGTAATATAATTAAAATATTTAATATACCTATAATTTATAATTATTTATATTATATCAGTAATATTTTATATTTACCTTTTTCTTATTTGTTGACAAGCAGTTATTAAAAATTGTCTGCATCTTTCGTAGAATTCCTTCAACATTTCCTTTTTTGAAAAGATTTCTGTTTTTTTCAGTTCATTCATAACACCAATTCCTAAATACATCTGTTCATTGGGTAAAAATTTTGATCTATCATCAGGTGAGACTTCTAGTGGTTTATTCATTTTAATCATGTATGAAAAAATCAACTCTAAATGTTTAACAGTGTATAATAATTATTTATTAGTTAATTAATCAAACAAACTAAATAATATATGGATATATACTATACCTGTATATGTTTCTTCCATTCTGTTATGCATAGATGTTAAGACGACTTTTTCACTTTGAAATAATTTGTTTAATGTAGTAAATTTAGGTAACACCCATTTTAGGAAATTATAAAACAATAAAATCAAAGGGTCATTCAAATAATCATATATTTTATCAGCTGAAGCAAGTTTATCCTCATGTCTGTGAACATTTATTAAATACTAAGTTTTAACTTTTTAAGATATTATTAATTATGGAAAAGAAAGTAAAAAATACCTTTGTACTCTGAAAAACATTTTCAATGGTTCCCATTGTTCTAGAATCCTACACACAACATTTTCTAATGAGAGCCATCTTGTTTGAGATGGCCTTAAAATTTTATGAGGCTCAACATCACAGAACAATTGGAACTCTTTAAATTGTGAAATCCTTTTACAACTTGATTTAAAATAATTATACACATCACGGCAGAGATCCTCACATCTTAATAAATTATTCAAATTAAATATTAATAATTAATAATGTTATAATAATAATATTAAATTTACCTTCTAGGTAAAACTTTACATGATTCACTTGCACATAAATGTAAAGAGTGACAAATGCACTTTTGTATGAAAACTCCTGGAAAATCAGATTTAAATCTACTTGCAACACTATTCCAATTGCCCATCATAGCATTACAGCCATCGGAAGCAAATCCTATGATGTTGTTGTAAGGAATATTTTGTATTTCAAATGATTTCATAACTTCTGAATAAATCATATTGGCAGTTGCTCCTTCATTAGCAGATTGACTGTCAGTAAATAGTTGTATTAAGCTCCAAAATGATGATTCTACTTTACATGTAAGTTCATTAAAATAACGCACACATATACATAAAGTTTTAAGAGTGCCAACATCCGTGCTCTCATCAATAATAACACTAAAACAATTATTTTTTAGATTTATTGTTAATTCTTCTTTATGGCACTTGTCTATAACATTTTTTATTACACATGTTGCTTTTGTTCTTCCTAAATTGATTCCTTTTACAATATTTGAATCAGGAAAAGACTCTTTTAGTACACCAGTTAAATAGTCGATGGAATTTAAAGACATATTATGCTCAGATATAAAACCACATAGTTTTATTTCTGCCAGTTTTATTGCTTCAGTTTCTTTTTTCAGCTGTACAACATTAGTAAAGCAATATGCTATTGACGACGATTCATTCACTGATTTAACATTACCTATATGCTTTGAAGACTTGGAATGTTTCTTTAATGTAGACAATTCAGAAACAAACTGTACCTGGCAGTAACGACAAAATGCTTTGTAATCGTTATTTTTAACTGGTTCCAGCCAATTCTTAAATTTAGGATCTATTTGCCAGCTTCCTCTAAACTTTTGTTTTTGGTGGCTTAACTTAGTTGTTGATTCACCGCGGATTTTAACGACTCTGTCACCATCACTGTCATAGTCACTCATTTTAATTCACGTTTTTTAATCAATTCAAGATTATTATTATAATATTATAGCCACTGAAATAAATATGATTGACACAAAAATATAATAGAAGTCAACAGACTATATGTCTATACTGCCTTGAAATAGAATAATAAATAATAACCTGGCAGTTATCTGTGGGATTATACATTGAGGAGTATATCTGGTTAAACATGATTGACACAACACTCAAATAATATAATAGAACAGACTATATGTATATACTGTAAATAAGAATTTAATTTTTACAAGAATATTTTCTTATCTGTGGGATAATCCACTGAGGAATATATCCGGTTAAAGGTGTATAACTTATAAATAATAATTTATCTTAAATTGCACTACTATGACCCAATTTAAGACGTAATTTTTTTGTTTAATTTTTCTTCAAGAAAATGAACAGAAGAACTGAACATGTATATTATATACAATAACATAATAAATATTAATATTTAAATTACCTGAATAAATTATATAAATTTAAATTAAGGAGGTAAAAATCAGCAATGATAAGATATTATCAATACTATGGTCTATGGCCGATGGGTGAAATACTGAAATTACCGTAAATTGTCCTTGGACCGTACCATACCGTACACTACTCTAAATTACCGTAAAACAAGGACAAGGACCGTATCATTGGCAACACTGCCACGAACTAAGATATACAGGACTGAACACTATTGGGCGGAGGGGGTGGGTGATGCGGTCAGAAAATCTTGCTCGTCGGTGCATTTGTGAATAAAGCGCCATCTATTAACATCAGTAGTAACTACAAAGTTCTACATTTATTTTAAGAATAAAATACAATTATGACATAGATTTTAGAGTACATTTTACTAGTCATCTTACTACATCTTAGTTAATGTATCTAAGCTGCTTAGTATATTATTTAGTAAAATATTTTAAAATTATAATATATTTATTTACAATGGGTCGATTATGTAGCGTTATAAATTGTTCAACTCGCAATTCCAAAGTGACACCTGAACGTATAACATTATTTTCATTACCAAAAGATGACTACTTAAAATCTCAGTGGATTAATGTAGTTTGTGCTGTTAACAATAGAGAAACTAATGTCAAATTTGTATGTGCCAAACATTTTAAAACTGAAGACATTAAAAGGACATATTATGGCTCTGAAAACTTAGGCTCTGAGGTAAACAATGCTGATGTAGAGTAGTATAAAAATTTGATACATTCAATATTACTGTTCTATAAATTAAATAATAAAAAAAAAAAAATACATGTAATCTATACTTATAGGATATTGATTAACAAATTACTTGTAGGGGAGACTGGCTTAATATGACATATCATTTTTTAATTTAAAAAAATTGAATGAAATAATGTTAGTTAACACATGAAACTTTAGCAGCATATTTGTATTTATATTATACACATAATTCTGAAGTCTAATTGTACATTTAATGCAAGCAAATAATTTTAATTCACTTTTTTTTAAATGTGCCTACTATGTCATTTTACCCGGAGTGTCGGATAAAATGACATACACAATTTATATAAGCAACCATTGTATACTTGTCAATAGAAATAAATTATAAAATTGTTGGAATGTAGGTAATAGTTTAATTTTTTTTTATTATTATAAACAACAAGACTGTAGTTATATATAAAATTCTATAAAAACATTATAAAAACAAATAAAATAATAGGTATTTACTTTTTGATAATAGAACATTAGTCTTCTCATACTAATTCCATAAAAACATAAAAAAAACAAAAAAATACTGTTTGTTAATAGAACATAAGTCTTTCTCAGACTAATTCTTTTAAAAACATAATAAAAACAAATAAAATATTAGGTATTTGGTAATAGAACATTAGTCTTCCTTAGACTAATTCTATTAAAAACATAATAAAAACAAATAAAATATTGTATGGTAGTAGAACATTAGTCTTCCTCATACTAATTCTATAAAAACATAATAAAAACAAAAAAATACAGTTTGTTAATAGATCATAAGTCTTCCTCAGACTAATTCTATTAAAAACATAATAAAAACAAATACAATATTATATATGGTAGTAGAACATTAGTCTTCCTCAGACTAGTTCCATAAAAACATAATAAAAATAAGTAAAATACTGTTTGGTAATAGAACATTAAACTTCCTCAGACTAACTTCAGTCTAAGTTAATTTTTAAAATTCAGTCTTAGTTAATTTTTAAAATTCAGTCTTCTTGGCATAACTATCACATTCAAAATATTTTACTCCAAAACCAATATTTGCACAGGCTGTGTGCGCCCATTTTTTACAGAAATTACAACGTATCCATGTCTCATTAGATTTGGAATGTTTGTATAAATCATTACAATAAAGACAAGCAACTTCTTCTTCATCACTATCATCATCACTTTCACTTTGAACACCGTGATCATTTTCAGTTGGAAGATCTAAAAATAATTTGCGGTTAACTGGTCTTTTTGATTTTCTAATTACTTTTTCTTCTTGTTTCTTTTTTGTATTCTTAATAGGTGGATTCTTGATAACTGCATGAGTGTTTTTAGATTTGATTGTCATAGACTTTTTTAATTCTTTAGCTTTCTTCTCATTTTGTTTTTCTTTTAATTGTTTTATGAGTGGGCTTTTTGTAAGCACTTGAGTTCCTGTAGATCTATTTTTATTTGATTTTCTGGGGCCAGTAAAGGAACAGCTAGGCAAAGGTGAAATTTTTTGTATTATTTGAGAAATATTTTCAGTATATAGGTTTGTATCTGTGTTTAAACAACTAGGCATCGGTGAAAGTAATGATGATGAAGTCTGGAAATTTGTATCTATGTCTGCAACAGTCACATTATTCATATTATCATCAGTATCTTCAGTACTTGGAAAAATTACTTCATTTTGTTCCTCAGAAAGTATATTTGTATCATTGGTAGGTTCTTCAAAATTCAAATTATTTGTTATCAAACTTGGAGCAAATAAATGATCTGGAAAGATATCTGGGTTGTAAGGATTTAAACCACAGGCTTGAAATGATGACAAAATATTCTTCATTGTAACTGTTTTTACATAAGCACGACCAAAAATGTTAGATATTTGATAGAGTCCAACTGTTCTGCCTGTATTAGCCTTTAACCAAATTTCTATTTCTTGGTTAAAATATACATCAAGAGGACCAAAAATACCAACATCCAAAGGCTGAAGTCGGTGTGTGCAATGAGGAGGTAGACAAAGTAAAACAACACCTGACTTTTTGGCAAGTTCAAGCGCTTCTACTGTTTTGTGACTTGAATGGCCATCTAGAAGTAATAACACTTTTTCTTCAATACTAGGTTTAACATTCCTTATAAAATGATTCATCCATTCAATAAATAATTCCCCAGTCATATAACCGGTGTCCTGATACATTTTCAAAGTACCAAGAGGTGCTCCATCGTACAAATTAGCGTTAAATGTTTTTCTGGGGAAAATGAGAGCAGGGGGTACACATTGCCCAGATGAACCTATACAACAAACCACTGTAACATGCTGTCCACGTTCAGCACTTGTTAATACACCTACTTGTTTTTTTCCCTTTTGAGCAAATATCTTTGATGGCTTTTGTACTGTTGTCAATGCAGATTCATCCATATTGTATATTTTGTCAACTGATATGTTTTCACTGCGCATAGTGTCAAAAAAAATATTAAAAAATTTGTGTACCTGTGGCTTGTTAAAAGCTTGTGCTCTGGCAGCTGATGTTGGTTCAGGAGAACGTAATGATAGCTCTGGATTTCTCTTACGAAACCCAGCTAACCAGTCCCACCCTGCTTCTCTCTTTTCTTTATTAAAGTTATGTGGAATATGAGCTTCTTCGGCAAAATCATAAGCCAATTTCTTTACTTCTTTGACAGTCATTCCAAAAAATCTAGACTCCAAGTTTAAGATGTGGTCAACCAGTTTTTTTTCTACCATAGATGACAAACAACTTGGTCGACCAAGATGTTTCACTATTCCTTTTGCTATTTTATTTGTATTATGAAAACGACGACGAAGTGTAGCTTGAGGTACATTGAATTGTTTTGAAGCTTTGAGCCATCCCATTTCTTTATTTTGTACAGCGATTATAGCTTTCTTCATACTTTCTTCCGACCATCTTTGTCGTTCAGATATTCTTGCATAGTGGGACACCATTCTCAACTACAGTGAATAAATTAAAAAACAATTAATTATTATGATAGTACCTATAAGCATAATAATCTATAATACCTATAGTAAAATTAAAATATAAATAATATGTAAAAATGCACCATAGGTAAAATGACACACTGCTATGTCATTTTGCCTGATATCATACAAGTTTTTTTCAAAGTTTTTATGGGAAAAGTATTATAATAAGCTTATTTATAAAACAATTGTAATATAGCTTACCTTTTTATGTTCAACTTCTAGCAAAAAAAAATTGAAGGAACATAAAAATTTGTATTTTTGAATGAATTTTTAAAAATGATTAAAAAAAAAGTTGATAAGACACAAAACACATTTTTGTTAACAAATTCTCTGATAAGGTCAAAACTTGTGGTCACTGTATACAATCATATGTACACTCTGTTCAAAATAAGACGATGACCCGGCGGCCGAGTTGTGCGCATGGGCGTGGCTTTGTTCCGTGGCTGCGCCCGACGCGTCGCTGTAGTGGGGACGGCATCTGGCCATATGTCTGACCGCCGCCCGACGAAAACTGGTCGCCGCCGGGTCATCGTCTTATTTTGAACAGAGTATAGGTGATTATAAGACACGTATTTAAAGTGTCTTTGGTTCCTAAATATCAATAATTCTAATCAAAACATCAATGTGTCATATTACCCTAATATGTCATATTAAGCCAGTCTCCCCTATGTAATTATTTAACACAATTACTTAATACTTATATCTAGTCTTGGGCTCTACGTTCATGGCCAGAACTGAATTTTGGAGCAGTTCCTTCTATTTTTGAAACTTCACCCAGTCACACCTCAAAATTATCTTCAAATGTAGCTTTGTGTAGATATCCAGAAGAAAATATTGAAATTTTTAGTATCTGATTTTTCATTTTTGCTAAACATGTATATAGGTCTCCCACATGAGCACACCTATGTTCATATAATAATTTGTGGTGTTATTAATTAAACAAATTTACTTTAGGAAATATTTGAAGATTTTGTTAAAATAGTTCCTACAATCGATTTGCCTGTTGGTTGGACATATCATGTAGAACATAATGTTGTGGCATTTTGTTTTTTAAAATCATATATGAGTGAAAATCTTTTGATGATGATTGAAAAACAAATTTTGGTTAAGATTGATTTAAGTGTAAAATATTACTTCACTAATAGAGAACTAGAGCTATCACATTTCACTTTCTTAACCAAACATTTTCCAACAAACAAATCAGACATTGAGCACTCTATATCAAAATTTAGCCAAATGTCAACATGCATTGGTGGACCATCAGTTGACAATTGTCCAGGTAACAAAACATGTACTTACTGTCGTATATGCACTTTCCAGTGATATACCTCTATCGACACTTGAGCAACCAAGAGACCATAAATTAACCGGTTACAGTTTGGCTCTCTTAGACGTCGATATCGCTACCTTACTGTTTAGACTTTCAATCTTCAACGACCATAAATTAACCGGTTTCAGATCAGATTGAAAGAATACAATTAACGTAGGACTACCTTCACCGTTTATACTTTAAATCGTCAACGACCATAAATTAATCGGTTTCAGATCGGATTTAAAGCGTACGTAGAATTGCGTGGCTACTCAAACAAAACAAATAATTTTCGGGTCGGAAACACTTTTATTAAAAATGCAAAACAAATATAAATAATTCAATAATTATTTAAAAACACTCAGTCTATACCACGACTGTCGTACCCGCGTTCTCGCTGAAACACCATGTCTCCGTGTCTGCGCGTCCGGTGGTGTTATATAGCAAAATAATTATTGCTGCCTCAGCACATCTTGTTTCATTGGCCTGACCTATGTTAATAATTTATAATAAAAATGTTCCCACCTATATTATATGTAATTATAGTGACGACTGTCTACATATACAACAGTCCCCGTTGTTTTTTAAAAAAAATGCCCTCATTTTTTAATGATGTTTCTACATACAAATGTCTTATTACTACATTAAATACTAACTTACTTTAACACTAAATTACTGTCTCAGCTTATTCGCGTC